CGGCATTGTTTAAGAAGGCTATTTAAAGACTCCGTATATGATATATGTATAATCCTGATTCAACTCTAAAAAACCTGAAAATCATTCAAGGAAGTTAAATTAGTATCAATAAACTTTATTGTTGAACTTCGCTTTGCACAAATCTTCTGATCTCACTGTTTTCAGTGAGAGTTCTACAAATGATCTGGGTCGTGCTGATTTGAATCACAACCAATGAGAAGACAGCTTAGGTCATGGAGGTGACGTTTTCAGGTCAGTCTGCGTGTGACCTATGGAACTTGCACAGCGTGACCCATTGCTTAGTGTTACGCACTATTGTGGCACTGTAACGCACTCCGATTTAAATTTAATTCAAAGACGAGTTAAGCTTTAATTGCTGTTATTATCATCGTTTTTTCTTTATTTAGTTCAATTAAAATCGCAAGTCATTTTATATAAATGAATAAAAACAATCAATCATCTAACCATAACATCATTTAGAATTTTAATAACGTGATGTCCATATTGTGCTTAATAAATCCTACTTCTCTCTTTTTAGTTGCTGCTTTTGCTTTTAACATAATTGCAAGTTCGATTTTGTACTTGTATATGTATCCTATTCGTTAGGGTGTCCTCCGTGACGAGGTGAAGTTTTTGTGGTAGTCAAAATCTGCGACGTCTAAATTGGTCCAAACAGAACTAACCTATCAAGGAATAACAACGCCTGATAATGTGGCAAGTCATCAGAGTTGCCTAAGTAAAAGCTAGGAGTAAATGGTGCTCATCAATACTATCAGTTTATTAATTCTACTTCGTGGCAAAAATGCAAACTGTCTTGCTAAACTTGCTACTTTGGCGCGCTTTTTTCAGCGAACAAATGTAATTGAATTGAATGCGCTTCGGCTTCATGATAATTTGAGCATAAGAAAAATTTCGCACCGTACTCTCAATTTGGACTAACTTCTAATCAGTAATGCTTTCTGCGTTTTTTAGTGCGCTATTAATTGCGCTAGTACTTCTCGTTTTTCTCAGTGCTATTTTGGTGGATCAAAAACTTCCTTAACAGGTTTTTATTTCCTTGACCAGAAAGGTTACCATAGCAACATCTGAAACACCTTTAATTTTAAGTTTATCAGTTTGTAACACGAAAGCGAGGCAGTTGTTTATGTGTGGAGCAGTGGTAGTCTAGTGGTTAATATATCAGACTATGGGTGGGGTCTTAGGGTCCGAATTCAACCTTCCTATTGTGTTGTTTCTTTAGCTGGGAAACTTTGCTTGTCCCTCCTTACGCAAGTGTGTGGAGCTGGGGGTAAACCTGCGAGGAAGTAACATCCCGTCCAGGTGGTTCAGGTGCTTCATCCTCCTGAAATTGCGGCAAGATTCGGCGATGGTAGCCTTTACTGCCCGAATCGCTCCATTTTTTGTTAAAGTACAACTTTCGTGAAGAAATTAAAAAAAAATGTGTGGTTGAAAATTTATGAAATGCTAATGGCAAAAGAGTGACACCAAACTTGTATTTCGGTTATACACTTTTAAAACTAAAACTGTCAGAGTTTTAGACAGGCTATGCTGTTGCTATGGCTACTTGAAATGTCACAAATAACCGTACCTTGTACACCATTAAGAAAACATTTCTTGATACTTTTATTGTGTTGTTAACAGAGGAGGGGTGGTTTTATTGTGGTCTTATCGATTTATTGAAGTTAAAGTGCTGAAAATGGTGTTGCCAGCGGTCGTACATGGTGCAGCAGCAAATACTGTTATACAATTTTCTCATACACAATCCTTCTTTTTTTGTTTTTTTTTTTTTCAGAAAACCAAGTAAGAAAAAGAGAAAATCAACAAAAAATGAGGAAGAACAAGCTAACGATCTTCCACCTATAACTTTCAAGGGAGGCAGAAAGGGCTTTAATCTCAGCGAATCTTTGCGCGGTTACCATTCCTTTACGGACGAGGAGGAAAGTGAACAAAGAAGAAAGAATGATCAGCGAGGTCTACCGAATTTTAACCGAAAAGGGTCTTACCAGAGACTGAGTGGAGAAAAGGATGTGGAATTGGTGGACGGAATGTTGGAAGACTCACCAGAAAAGGACAGGAAAAAGTCGGGTAAAAAGAAAAGAAGGAGATCAAAAGGAAATGACGACGATGTAGTTTCTTAAAAAAATTTCAGAAATCTATGCCAACAAGTTAAGCTTTCCACTGACTTCCTGTGAACTATCACTTTCTCGATCGGTTGTAAAGAATGGCACCTGAAGGTTTTCTTTATAGGGTCAAATGTCTAAAGGCCGCGGTTTCCTTTCACTGACTGGTGAAACACCTCTCTCCCACGAAGAGTTTGCCAGGCTGCCAGTGATCTTACTAGTAAATACTGGAAGAGAGTTGAGAAGCTGGACATACGCTTTCCATAAAACGTGATTTTAAGATTTGGTTAAGTGTAAAAGGGCCTTGGTATCTTGTCTACAAGGTATTTGTTCCAAGTGAACTTGCCTTTTGCTCCTTGTTTCTGTTTCTAATGGTAGATTATGTCTCGGTGGATTCGTGGATTTGCTTTGTTATCTTTCATTGCTTCTATCGGTGTTGACCTCTGAAGATGTTACGTTTTCCTTTTGCCTATTTTAAGGCTTGTTTACCTTTAGGTTTTGTGACGTAAATTTTTTTATTTTGACGTGACATATTGCGATAAGCTCTTGCAGGAAATTGAATTGTCCTGGCCGATATATACCTGTAGATCCAAGTTTAACACAGAGAATTGTCCAACTAAAGCTATCCGTCTTTATAGTTCAATGGAAATTTCACTCTAGTCAGGAGTTGAGTTTTGTAATGGGTACTTCACCGCGCGCCAATAAATATGAAATGATCCTCATTGTCATTGTTAACATCGTTCTCGCAGTCGCCTCCAACTATTGGTGGGAAACCTTACAGTAAGTAATGTTTTATTTATTGAATTATACAGACACACCTATTTATTTGCATTGTCGTTTACTTGAAGCTTTTACTACTGTAAATAGAAAAAACCGTTCAATATAATCAAGTGTGAATGTAAAATTTGAAATAAATTCCTTTATGATCAGTGGGAAAAAGATATTTATGACCCAAGTATTTTTTTATTACTGTGCAACATAGGTTTTGTTTCTTCATGTGACTTGAATGCTAACAAACGCAAGGTGTGTAGAGTATTGTACAGATATTTTGTTTTTACATGTGTATCTCAATAAAAACATCAAGATGTTTTGTTCAGAGCAGTCGTTCTCGTTTTGGTTTGAAATGTGTCTTATGGGATAATCCGAGTAGGTGTATGATACATGAACAACGGAGACTGTGAGGTTTTGGGTCAGATCAATTTTACTCATTTTACTTACTTTACTTTCCAATAAGTAATGTCCATTGAGACTAGTAAACAGCTTCTGAAGTAGAAAGATTCAAGTGAACCTCCAACCTCTTTAAAAAAGAGTTAACTTCACATTTCACTAGTCTCTATTAATCTTTACTGACATTTGGATGTTGTTTTTCTTTTCTTTTATGTATATTTAGTAATTATTGAATGACGCTTAGTAGGATATGAAGAATTCTGCAGATTTCGGCCTCGGTGAATAACACCCTCCGAGATCTGCAGAATTCGTCATATCCTACGAAAGCCGAATTCAATAATTGTTTTGACAAGGAGGGCTGTTAAGAAAATCAAAATGGGAAAAGTTTCTTTCTGTTCATCAATGAAACTTTGCCCATCGTGTTATCGTCTTGCTAACTGTGCTGCACCTTCGGATCCTTCTTTGTTGTTATAGAGTGAATTCCTTGGATTCCCAAGACAGGTTACGTGCGTACTGTTTGCGACCATATAATTTTGGTTATTCCTGATTTTATGACGACTTGTGGCTTTAACTGATTTATAATGTTTCGGATTTTATTCGACCCAGTTCAGTGAATGCCCATAAAAATCAAACAGAAAAAAGCGAGACAAAAGAATATAAAGAACATATCATCTATGAAATAAACGAGATAATCTTCAAGAAAAGTAAACAGGAAATAACTTTATCGTGAAGTTGAATACGTGAATGCATTTTACGTTTTCATGGAGTAATTTAGTTCAACTTGTTTATGGTTGGGAGACAAAAGGTTAATGAATGTTTCCAGGGGGTAATTCTGAGAATTCTTGGTGGGGTTGGCTGCCTAGTTCTCCAAATCCTGACCCTATTTCAGACCAAAAAATGTCATTTATCATACCCGGCCTCGGAAAATTATGTCATCATTACTTAGATTAGAACGCCAGCCAAAAAGATTTCTTAAATTCGCATATTTCTCTTTCTTTCTTATTCATTTGGAATTGAAACGGCAAATACTTTGTCATGAAAGAAATTGTTCGTTGTGGATAATGTGTATAAAGGGTTTCGTTGATCGTTTGTCTCAGGATTGTCACATAGAATATTGATAGCGTCTTTTCGACCGCCGGTCGTCATCAAGCGATAGGGTCGATTTACTGATCATGAATAGAACTATTTGTACCACGGCCATGGTTTTTAGTGATTTGTGTATCACAAACCTCGGTTATGGTTTGCGGGTTTCTATACAAGGCATTGTAGGCATTATTACAGAAGGAAACTGTTCCCTCAGCGGTTACATCTACACCTTCGCACGTTTGTTATGAGGTGTTTAACAAGTCATAGGTAGCTAGAAACATTGGTGTTCTGTATAATACTGACATTTATGACAATGGAACACATGCTTTAGCCGTATGCAAGGCAGGCTTGAAACATTAGTCGCATAAGGAAAGACATCAGTCGCCATACTGCGGAAAAACTTGTCCATGCTTTCATTACTTCCAGATTGGACTTCTGTAATTCACTTCTGTATAGACTACCGAAACAAACTATCAGACTTATCTTTTTAGGAAGGCGTTATCATTAAATTAGTCCTTTTATGTTTTAGTCGTTTTAATTCAATTCCTTTTTTATCAATTAATTTTGCAATTTTTAATTCGTCTAATTCGTTTCAATTTAATGTAATTTATGAACTATATTTGTAAGATTTTAAACATTTGTTATAAAGCGCCATTGGGCATCGCTAGAAATGGCGCTATATAAATTTATTATTATTATTATTACTATTATAAATACGTTCATATGCTCCCGTACTTTCCTCGAAAACCATGCCCGATTCCAAACAAAAATGGGCAAAGTCTATACCCGTTTTCAGACCAAAACGGCCCCAATAAAACCAAACCCTTTTGGGCGGCACATACCTATATGCCTTATATACTTCAGCTCATGTCTTGTGTTAAACTGACCCTGACATTGTTATTTTACTTTCTGTAATACCTACGTTTTTGTCTTAAAATTGAAAATTTATCCCATTAACAATCCTCCTAACTTCTTTCCTCTAAAAGGAAATAATATTTTTTCTTGACCGAAAGATGACACGTATAGCCTTCAAGATGTTCAAGCATTAGCACCAATCAGGTTCTTGTTAAGAGTAATTGAAAAGCAGGTCGCCTCTTTTGTTAGCTCAAATCATTTTCCTTTGTTCAATTTAAATTGCCGCTCATTATTTCTCTTTTACGGATGGAAATCAAAGCACACATTAATCACTGAATTGCCATTTGTTTGTTCAAAACATTCTATAGAAGTTGTCAACAATTCTGCTCATTGTAGTTAAGTCACACAATGGTTTAAAGGAGCAAATAATCTATATAACTCACGTAACACGTTAGAAAGTGCTATATAACGTATGTGTTGATAATATGTATGGAGGTGTGTTATTTTGCCTGTCCTGATATACACTTTTCAGTGGCTGAATTGGCAAACATTTAATGCAACCGAGACATGAAAGCTTTTTTATGATGTTAATCCTTTAATCCCATCTTGAGGCGTGTTAATTAATTTCATTTCGTTGGCAATTAATATTTGTTTGTATTTCTGTGGTTTACCAGGTTGGTTCTAAAATCTGAGCGGAAATGCTTTTAATCCCTGGGAGCGGTTTTCTATGATATCAAGAAAGATTATTTTCTCTGACACGCTTAGGACAACAGGGCTGTACACTGAAACATAGTAACTGGCCTTTCCTGCCTAAGAAAAGCAAGGCTTGAAACACAGAAAATATGAAAATACCGATGAGGAAGACAGAAATTTAGGCAATTTTTAGTTTAGGTTGATTTGCTTTACTTTCGTCGCCTTAGAATCGTTCTGCTTTGTTTGTTTGTTTGTTTGCTTGTTGTTTCATTCGTTCGCTTTTCTGCTATAGATAATCCTTGTGGCTAAACAAATCTGTGAAGTTGTTTGTTGTGAACTTTGTGATTTGGCTTTTCATAGAATTAAATAATTTTTATGCTGCACCCTCTCTCAATAGTTTAATGCGCATGCTTACCGATAACTCGGACAATATTAAGCACTTATTAAATAAAGATAAGGATGATATGAAGAATTATTATATGATAAGAGCCTCTGAGACCTGCATAATTCTTCAAATCTTTCGAACGAAATCCATTCGAATGCAGTAATTGTTTTAATATTCATTCAAAATGTTTCTAACTGCAAACCAAAATATCTCGTTCGATGAAAAGTTGCGCATGTTTCTTTATAGACTTCCCCTCGTCCTCCGCAATTTAAAGTTATGAATGAATGTTTTTTTAGCATACAATCTTAAAATAGCAAAGAGTCTTCCGTTGAGTTGTATCTTTACCAGTCCTGCTATTTTTCCAGACAGCACTGAGTTGGCTATTCCTTAACATAACGCCTGAAATATTAACTTCTGCTGCTTTTCCCGAGCCCCGCCAAAAACAGCTGGTCTTCTGCTATCCCTTTTTGTGATATCTGTGCAATTGACGTCAATTGTTATCTTTTTCCAAAATTGGTCAACGTTAGCTGGTTAAGAAGATTTAGCCGGGGGATTGAAGGCAATCAGAAAGAAGAAGTATTACATTCATTATACATTCAAAATATTTCTTCATATCGTACTTAATTCGTCAGTCTTTCATAGTTGCTACTCTGTTTCGGTGACTTAATGTTGTAATAAACTCACTTAGAAGGTGCCGCAATATTATACAGCATATTTGTGAAATATCCGACTGATATCATTTTTGTAATAAACTCACGTAGAAGGTGCCGCAATATTATACAGCATATTTGTGAAATATCCGACTGATATCATTTTGTTGTAAAGGAAGGAA